GAGTGTTAAAGAAAGACAAGCGTCAGGGATTAATGATGAGTAAAGAAAAATAATACAAATAATAAGGTTTTTCATACTAATGAGAAGTGTTACTTTAAGAATTGTATATGCATGTAATTTCAATGACTTGGGAGGTTGAGGCAGGAGGATTACAAGTTTGAGGCTACCCTCAGCAACTTAGCCTAGACTCTTGTCTCAAAATATAAAAAGGGCTGGGGATATAACTCAATGGTAACCATCCCTGGATTCAATCCTCAGTTAATCATAAATGCATATTAAATTCTATTTCCTTTTATAAAATATAGTTTTTTAAAAAAATGGACGGATAATATGTGCATTCATTGTATATAATATGATATTTTGTAATATACATTCATTGAAAAATGGTTAGGTCAATCAAGGTAGTTAATAAATGAATTACTTCACTAGTATGTTGATGAGAGTAAATAATATTCACTCTTTGCATTTTTCATGAATACAATATATCATTATAGTCTCCTTGCTGTGTAACACCTTGCTGTATAATAGATCTTTTGAACTTATTCCTATTATCTAACTGTAATTATATATAATATCCTTTAGCCATTATTTTTTCATCTCCCCCCAAATATCACCAGCTATAAGAAAAAAGATTAAAGGTAATACATGCCTATTATGGAGGTTCTCCCCTAAAAATGAAATATAAAAGTATCATGATTCAGCAATCCCAGTACTGAATATATATCCAAAGCAGATGAAATATTTATTGCCCTCCCATATTCATTACTAAAGTAGCCAAGATATAGATTTAGTTAACTGTCCACTAACTAAATAGATTAAAACAATGTGGTACATGCAATGGAATACTATTCAGCCATAAAAAATGCCATTTGTGACCACATAGATAGACCTGAAGATTATTAAAAACACTGCAGGATCTCACTTATGAGTAATCTAAAATAGTTCAAGTGTACTGCAGAGAGAAGCATGGGGAAGCTTGATTTATTAGGCTACATATTTAGACAGGAGAAATAAGTGTCAGTGTTATATTACACAGTACAGTGACCACAGATAAAAAAAATAATGTACTATATGTTTTCTATAACCTAGAAGAATGAATTTTGAATAAATGAAAAATGGTTGACATAAATATTTAACATGATTAACGTAAGTATTTAACATTGCATAGTATATGCATATACTGAAGCATTGTGGAATCCTATAAATTTGTACAATTTTATGTAACAAAAAGTTAATTATATTACAAGGTATATATTATAAGATGGAAATGAAGGGCTGAGATTGTGGCTCACTAGTAGTGATTGCCTATCACTCCTGAGGCACTGGCTTAGATCCTCAGCACCACATGTGCACGTACAACTACTAAAAAATATTAAAAAAGGAAAATCAATATAATAAAGAAATGCCTGCATACCCATTTTTTATCATAGTATTGTTCATAATTGCTAAGATAAGGAAATAACCTCAGTATCCACCAATGGATAAGTGGATAAAGAAAATAGACATGGTAGAATGCTATTTGGCCACAAGGAAGACTTACAACTAGACTCTGGCCTGAACTCCTCCTTCCACAATCTACCCCAGACTATTGGGAAATGTTGGTTAATAGATTTCTTTATGCATTAATGAAATATTGAGAAGTCAGGATTTTTCTGTTCCTCATTTTTAGCTATGTGTTCCAATACACATATATGCACAAACACCCCATATGTATACAATGTGTATGATTCCACCAGACACCAGATGTATGTATACATGTAGCATGTGTGTATATACTTCCTTTATAAAATGAAATGAATGAGGTTTATAGGAAAGGTGGCATAATTGCAATTCCTGAAGAAATAATCCTAAGGGAATTTTCAGGATTTTAGTGTTTAATGGCTAGTTTGAAATTTATTTTGACTTATTAGTCTTCTACCTGTGATTATGTAAGTAGTAATGTATAATATCCCTTTCCTGGCTTCATGAATAAGATGATAGATTATAAGGTCTTGATGGCAGGGTTTTAATCAGATAGACCACCTGTGAGAAAAGATGTCAATAAATCAAGCTCTAAAATCAAGACATTCATGAACTCACTGGAAAGGGATAAAGTTTAGCGTAAGAGATATTATCTTTATCCCTCTACAAATTACTTATTTCACTCATCTTTCTATGTTTGAACAAGTTATTACTGTATCTTACTGATTTGAAGAAGTCTTTTGATATTGGACACTTATGTACTTCTGTAGATTTTTATCTATGAAAAATTTACTTTTCAACTTCTCCCATTTTGGGAGACTATCTTCCAGAGCTTCTATTATTCTTTTACACATGATAGACCCCAAGGTATTTGTTTCTAGTTAAGGTTGGAAGTCTTTAATGGAAGGGACACGATAGAAATTACTTACTTATGAGGAGATAGATGTTAGTGTTTTCAATTTTATAAATAGGTTATAGATAAATGACCAGCTGTAGCTAGGAAGAAAGAATTTTAACTGCTATAGTCATTGCTTAACCAGTGACATTTAAGGAATGGAAACTTTTTGATGTTGTAGTAGATGGACCCAATATGAGAATCCAACTCAGTGCCTCACATGTGCACGTGGCTAGGTAGGCACTGCACCACTGAGCTATAGCCCCGGTCCCTGGAAATGTCTTTCTAACGAAACAACCAAAATGACAAAATATACTCACCTCGAGGAAGAAACAAAAACTGAAAATGTATGCCTTCATTCAAAGAAGATTGAGAGAGGGAGGGCAGTGAGGGCAGATGTTGCACAGTTCCTCCGCATCAGTCTTGGTGTCAATGCAAAAGTGTGTGCTGCCTTTCACAAGAATGTCATTCATGTGGCCTAAAATATAAATGGCAACTTTTTGAAGAGTCATGTACAACACATACTGCAAATGTTGTGTTCTTGGGGGTTTAGATGCAAGTACAGAGATACCTTTGGGAACCTAGGCACGTGTTCTTTAGTGCGAGGTACATTCGTGCTTTCTAAGAGATCATGCATAGGAAATGCGAATTTAGGAAAAAAGGCATTTTATATCACATGTTCTACATAGTATTATATGTTCATATTGTATATTATGAATATTGTATGTTAATATGCACATAATATTTGTATTATATGTTCTGTAAAATATGCTAATATATACATGGCATTTTTCCCAAATGAGGATTGAGTATGCTCCATGCCAGACGCTCTTAATCTTTTTAATTTGTATTATTTTACAAGTTATTGAAAGGATGGAAGGACATGATAGAATCAATTCTCAGGATCACGTAGACTCTTCTGCATCTTGTGGTGATCCTACTTAACTTTAAACCTAAGGGGTGGAGAAGATAAAGACATCCATTAGTACACTTCACTGCAGAACTCAAAAGCAGTCAGTAGGAAAATTAAATAATTCCTAATTAAATGTAGAGATGCAGCATATATTGATGGATTGAAAATTCACAGATTTTAATACAATCTCAAGCCAATTCTGATTTTTGTAGTCATTCCAAAACTGATTGGATGGTTCTAGTTTCATTGCTTTTCAATCTGGAAAGGAATCACAAAAGTTGGAGAATTCACATTTGCACTATAAGAACCTTAGTGAATATGATATGATGCTGCAGGAAGGATGGACAAAAATATGTATTTTGAGTAGGTTGAAGAAAGAGAAAATAACTTGCATCTATCAAAAGAAGTTCTGGGCTGGATGCGGTGGCACACCTGTAATCCCAGCAGCTCGGGAGGCTGACACAGGAGGATCATGAGTTGAAAGCCAGTCTCAGCAAAAAGACCTACATCCGCAACCCTATTTTGTATTTTATTTAGGTCTAAATAAAATACAAAATAGGGTTGGGGATGTGGCTCAGTGGCCAAGAGCTTCTGACTTCAACCCCTGATACCCCGCCGCTCAAAAAATTCTGTGTATACTAAATAATTTGTTAAATTTTTCCTTTGTATTTCAATAAAGTAATAGTTCCATGAATAATTTTGGAGTATTTCTCCCTGACTGGTAACTGATATATTTTATTGATTAAGGCATAAAAAATTTTCCAGGCTAGTCAAGTTAGAATGGTAAAAACTGTTGAAACATGATTTTATATGTGATTTTGGTTCTATCACACAAGGTTGCATTTATAGGTGCAACTGACTATCATTTTAAAGGGTATTTCAAGTCGTCTATTTCTTACAGATTTATTAAAACATTCTATTTTAAGTAGTCTATTTGGGTCATCTTTGCTTTATCACATTTGTAGATGAATAACAAAAGCTGAGAGAAGTGAAATGTAATTGAGCACATTGAAGAAAACAAGTAGTCTCACCTGAGGATCACAAGTGGGCTACCTGTGCTCACCTGAGGATCACACAAAGCCCTGCTGGACCAACCTGAGCTCTCTCATGCCATTGCAGTCAGGGAACGTGGGCTGGACTCAGAAGCCCATCTCATTAGAATATCAGATCCCAGAAGGAAAGGCAGGAACAGCCAGGCTGGCGGGTCTCTCCCTGCACTTGAACTTTCACTCTGGAATTCTTCATAGCACAGAGAGCTCCAGCTGCTGACAGAACAAGGGCAGAAACTAAGAAAAGCCATCTTCCCTGGCAGGCAGGCCCTAGGAAGGTGACCAATGACATGCCTCAAACACACTATTCCAAAAGGAGTCACATAGAGCCACTCAGGGTCAGTACGTGGGGAAATGAATTCCAGGCCTGACTGGAGGAGGAGAAAAAGGCCCATTGCCAAAGGTGTGCTCACAGGTATACAGGTGCAGTCGGAACCACAGTTACTGCAGCCCACCAACTGCCCTTCAGTGTTGTGACTTTAGTTTCCATGCCCTTCTCAGGATATTGAAAGGGAAGCCTCACAGTTCACAGTGCTGAAAGGCTAGGTGTAGCAAAGATCTAAGATAATTCAGAATCGTTTTTACCCAGGAACAGATGACCTTCACAATTATAGCTGTGAGCCACAGGTTGCTCTTTCTGCATTTATTTGAATGCTGGGGATTGGACTCACCTTCCACTCACCTTCTTAGGGTTGAAAGGAGCCTTGGGCGTTGGCTGACCAAATATTGCTAAGTTCCCAGTGTGCTTTCCAGCCGACTGCTTGAAACACTGATGTTTCTCTACGTGTTGCCACTGTGGGTCAAGGGAGAGGGCTACTTGTCCTAAAGATCATCTAGTCCTATCACCCTAACTTCAGCCACCCTTACTGGGAAAGAGAAGCAAAAAACAACCAGGGCTCACAGAATTCACAAATGGCAGGCTTCCATCTGCTGACTAGATGTGCAGGCGGGAGGTCGCAGGACAGGAATGTGAGCTGGCAGATTTGAGCCCTGCAGCACCTACCTGGCAGGTCTCACATCTTCTCCCTGTCCCTGCATCAGAGGGGATTTTGGGGAGCAGAGACGGAGTGAAGAAGGAGGAATCCACACAAGCTGTTGCCATACTACAGTCATTGGAACCGGGAGGTTGCAGGACCCTAGGGGCATCACACCCCAGCCCACACAATGGCCACCCTCACTGCTTGCCTGACACCTCATGGGGACACAAGGGGGCAGAGGGTGGCCTGTGCCTCCATCTCTTCCCACTCCCTGGCCCCACCCTCACCAAGTGCCTCAGAAAATCAAGTGGATGTGTGGAGGATCCAGAACCTCTTTCCCCACCAGGGAATACCTGTGATTCTTCATGGGGGTTGGGAACCTGAAGGGGAAGAAGTGAGCATCAGGAAAATGGGTGGCCAGAACCATCACCCACCAGCTCCTCTCCTCCAGAGAAGTCGTCTCCCCGAAACGTCCTTCCATCTTGTTCCCATCGGTCTCTCTGACTTTCCTTGTTTCTTCCTGAGATGCACTTCACATGTCGGTGCAGGAAAGGCCACGGTCCCTCTCAGAGCTGACAGGGACACCCATTTCTCATGGGAAACATCCTGATCTAACACCCTAATTACCACATTAGACTGATGAGATAAGCCCTATTTCTACTCTGTTCTGCCAGTGTGAAGACCAGAAAGACCTCCCTACATTGCCCAAGTGGAACTGGGTGACCTGTCAGGGAGGTAATGGCCTCCCTATAACTGGTTAGGAAGCCAGGGTCGGAAGTTCTCACATACCCTTGGGGGTGGGAAGAGAGGGACACTTACCTCTGTCTCTGCCACCTGCTCCTTTCATTTCACCTCTTTATTCCAGCCTTTCTCTCCCCTACCTGACTCCAGGTGACTTGAGGGAAGATCTGTTTTCATCAGATTTACATCTGGGTCATGGCGACAAATCCTGCAACATACAGGCCTGCATCAAATTCCTGTGAGTGATCCATGGTACCCAAAAGGAACACAACACGTTCCCCATCCCTTTCAGAGCTGCACGTGGACACACGTTCTCAGTGTTCCTTACAAACATGAAAGATCTTACATGGACCTTTTGCAACCTGTAGACAGACTCACCTGTGTTCCTTGCCTCCTGCTGGTAGGACCATCCGTTGTCACAGCAAACATGCAAGTAAAGCCTGTGGGGATAATCAAGACCTAGAAATTTTATAAATAAGTGCACCAGCACAGAGTAGCTGTGGCAGAGTGAGGCCTGGCACCTACAAGGCCCTGGGTTTGATCCCCCCCACCACAGAGCAACAACTACAACAAAATCAATCTCTCCCTCTCCCTCCCTCCCTCTCTCTCTCTCTCTCTCTGTATGTGTGTGTGTGTGTGCAGCAGTAGTAGTCAGAGTATCAACTCAGAGGGAAACTCTTCCTCAAGGCACAAAATGAAGGACACCAGAAATGTCCAGAGTGTAGTCCCCAGACTAAGTAATAAGAATTCCTAAATATTAGCCATGGTGCACAAATGAGGCATTTATTAGTAGCACAAAGTGACATGTGTTCTTATTACTTTATGAAGACTGATCGTCTGCGTCTGTAGAAAGGGAAGTTGTTCATCCAAGTTTTCATGCTCTCACCTGCGTCCCAACTCCCTGAGGATCAACAGCCCTTTATGGCTTTCAGAGCCAACTTCCCGATGGGCTTGGTGACACACGCCTGTATTCTCAGCTTCTCAGGAGGCTGCAGAAGGCAGATTGCAAGTTCCAGACCAGCCTTAGCAACTTAGCAAGACCCTGTCTCCATAAAAAGTGAAAAGGACGAGGAATGTAGATCAGAGGTAAAGCATCGCTGGGTTCCATCCCCAGTCCTGTGCCTGCACCCAAAAATAATATCAGGGAAAACTTCTTGCTGCTGGGTTCTCCGTGCCTGTTTGTAAACCGTACCTGGAGAGAGGGAGGAATTAAATACCTTCAACCCAGAATCAGCAAAGAGGCTGAGAGGAGCCATGTTTCCACTGAACCTGGCGGACACACAACAGTCACACTGAGCTTTTGAGGCCTTTTGGTCCTGATGACAAATATTTTGTGGTACCCAATGACCTTCACAGTTCTTTGGAGTAACCAGAACATCCCCCAGCACTGATGAAGGTTTTCAAGTCCCCGTGGTCACCAAAGGGACCCAAGCAGAACACTTTTGGAAATCTAGAGTTGAAAACTCCCTACCCCTTCTGATTGAAGTCTCCAGAAGGTAGCTCCCTGGCCTGATAGGTCCAGCCTCTGCATCTCCCTCTCCTGTGCCAAGTCTCCTACAGAGAGGAAGCAGAGTTGTTTCTGAGAACGCAGACCCTAGGGACAGGGGCTTGGTCAGAGTCCCTGGGCTGCCAGATAGCAGCTGCACAACCCAAGCAGGTCGGCTAAACCTGGAGAAGGCAGGGAGCTCACCAAATCTGGCCACAGGTGGATGGGCAGTAAGCACGTGTGGGGCATGACTAGGTGTGGGAAGAGACGGAGAAAAGCCATCTCCTGTCCGCAGGTCACAGCCAAATTTCCATGAGGCTGGGTTGAAGCGGTGGAGAGCTGCTGAAATTGCAGGAAAAATGCATAAAGAGCTCCAACCTGCTATGCAGTAGGAAGACTCCTCCAGGTGAGGACAGCAGGCTCTTGTCCATTCCAAACCCAGGGAGGGACGGTGCACTTCCTGTGGCAAAGACAGCAAGGCCTGCCATCCCCCAGATGCTCCAAGGTCCTCCCCTCTTGCATCTTCTGTCTCAGGCTCTTCCTAGCTCCCATAAAGAATCACACACAGAATCAATGGAAAAATTAACAGTTGAAATAGCCCTTACCATGTCCTCCAGGTCTGAGCGGCTTCACCTCCCTACATTCCTTCCCATAGCAGGTAGAGGGAAAGAAACAAACACAATGGCCATAGTGGTCACTTCTCACCAACTGTGCATCCTGGGCATGTGTTCACACTTGCTCACATATTGACATCAAAGACCTGTGTGCGAGGAGGTGCTTTCAGCCTGAGAGTGGCCATCACTTTCTCCAAACACCTGGACAGACCAACACCACTGCCCTCCTTCTTCTCCCAGAGGGAGTGTCTCCTCAACTGACCTGAGTACATCTGGGAAGATAGGACTAAGCTCCTTACCTCCTGGTTTTCCGGGCGGGTAAGATGTCCAGTTCCTTGTGAGCAGCCTGTGTTGTGATTCTTCTGGGAGAGAAAGACCTCCAAGCAACATCCTCCTTATCACTCCTGGGACTTCCTCTTCCAGAGCCACTTACCTGGCCTCTGAGCCACAGAATGAACCAGGAAGCAGGGGATGAAGTGCACTCAGCCTGCTGCGGGGAGAGGTCAGGAGGCCAGGGTCCTCCTACTCAGCCTCTGGAGACAAGAGCCCTGCCTAGCCCTCCCCAAACACCTTCCATCCCTCTACCTGGGTGTGACCATCAGCAGGTCTCCCCTTTACCTGCTGTAGGCTGATACGTTGCCTTGGACCCTAAGAGGAAAATACAAAGCATCAGACCCTCCCACAACAGGCTTCTGTGCCCCTTACCTTGTAGCTTCTGTCCTGGACATCACCACTCCAGCTCCAGACCCAGAAAGAAGTCTGTGACTCTCTGCAGGAACCTGTGAAAGACCCTCCGACTCCCTGTCCAAGGAAAAGCACACAAGACACTGGCTGCAAAAGCGAGAGGCGATTTATTGATACACAGGCGCCTGCGGGTGCTCAGCAAGACCTCAGCCGGAGCTTCGGTGAACTGGCACCCCGGGCTTTGGGGCACAGATCTTTTATAGGGTAAAGGAGCAGGTTTCGCGCGTGCGGTAAGCAACAGGTTTCTTATTGGTCTTTTTGAACCTAGCATATAGGTTACCTAAAAGGCAAGGTTGTTTTTCACTGTATGTTCCTGGAAAAACCACATAAAAACCACTTGTTTTTCACTGTATGTTTCCGTTTGCTCAACCGTGCCGGTTCTTTCCTAATCGGTTACACTTAACTGATTATCTGAAAAACACATCTGACGCCTGTGCAGGTGCAAAAGCAAGCCCTGATGATTTTGTAACTGGGCCTAAAGTTATTGGGCTGGGGTCTCTCACCTGGACACAGGAGAGGAGAGGATCCAGGGGGTGCTCCATCCTCTCCCAGACGCCAGAGCAAACAGCCCAACTAACTGGCGGTCAGTGTCTTGGGAGGGATGATCCACTCAAGACAGTGTTCTTGGGGGCATTCACACCAGACCCTCAATCCCCAGGAGAAACTGACGCCTGCTGCCCAAGGGAGCACAGCTACCCCTGAGGGTGTCTTGAAGTAATGGGACCCCTTCCTACCTGATGCGGATTTACTAGATATTCTTCAGAGGTCTTTTCATTCCAGGCTCCCTGCCTCCTCTCTCTACTACAGACAAAATAAAACCAGTCAATATGTAGGAGAAGGGCATGGGGGGCTGTGGAGACAAAGAAGGCTGGCCTTAGGAGCCTCTTGAGGGCAGCTAATAATGTCCCCATGTACGGAGCTCTTCTAAGAGGGCCAGCTGTTGCCAGCACCACACCAACCCAAGACAGGTTCCCCTGCCTCCTCCTCCAAGTCCCCCCTCCTGCCCCTGAATGTGGAGATTGCCTGCTGACCAGTGAGTGACCTCTCTTCGGTGCTGTTTCTTTGGCTCTCAGGCTGCTTCCCACTCCCTTGGTGTTTGCATCACAATAGCTGAAGTCACAGGGCACTGTGGGGGTGGGGGTGGGGTGGGGGTGGGGGATGGAAAGCACCAAGGCTCAGGAGGCAAAGCTGGAATGCTGAGCGCATGTAATAACTATTGAGACCCCTTTCTCTAGAATAAGTGCTCTCCTGGGTGCCCAGCATACACAAACTCATTCCCTTGGGTCATTGTGGGAATATAGTACTTGTTAATATGGATCGAGTCACTGGCTTGGGGATGATAGAGCATAGAGTCCTTCCTTCCTGTTATTTTTCTTTTCATTGGATTTCACACACCTTAGGAATGAACATACATGTAATTGTGCGTGTATATGTGATGTGCCTGCTAGAAAGTATGGAATATTTCCAGCACTTTGGAATGGTCCTTGTGCCTTTTTAAATAGTCACTTCCCAAATTACCCACAATTCTGAACTCTGTCATGATGCACTAGTTTGCTTGATTTCCCCTTCATATCAATGGGGGGGAGATTCCAGGTTGTCTTCAGAGTCTGGATCTTTCTCTGGACAGATCCTCAGTCCAGGAGATCCATCTGTGTTTTCATGTGACACAGCACTCTGTTCTTGTTCATTGGCCAGTAGTATTTTATCACATGAATCCAGCACAAACTGTTCACTCATTCTAACTCACTCTAACTTTGTTTGTTATACTTTCCTTTTGTTTTGGTGGTAAGAGTGGCAGCTCTGGTGATTTTAGGATTGCCTTAAGAATAGCCTTAGAATTCATTCTTTCCTTGTTTTGAAAGATACAATATTTCTGCAGCCTTCTTTCATTTCTTACTGTTTTTTTTCTTTCTTCTCAGCTAGGAGTCTTCCTGCTGATATATTCACATCTATATCCCTAGCTTCTGCTGAGATTGAATAGATGTGTGGTTTAAACCAACAATATATTTTATAAAATGGTTGTTCAGCCTCACTTTAGAAAAGTTATTTTCACTGGGTACAGTGGCACACGCCTGTAATCCCCGTGGCTTGGGAAGCTGAGACAGGAAAATCACAATTTCAAAGCCAGCCTCACCAAAGCAACTCAGGGAGACCCTGTCTCTAAATAAAATACAAAATAGAGCTAGGAATGTGGCTCAGTGGTTGACTGCCCTTGGGTTTTATCTCCAGTAGCCCCCCCAAACTTTTTTAAAAGTTATTTTCATTTTCTTTGAAATATTGATAAGCTGAGAAATTCTCAAACCTTCCAAACTCTTGTTCCTTTTTGTTTTTCTCTTCAATTCATCTATGTCTTTTCACAGTTTATTATAAGTAATCAGTAAGAATCAAGCTTTTCCTCTCAATGCTTTGCTTGAAAATCTGTTCAGATAAGTATTCAATTTCATTGTTCACAAACCATTTGTGTCCACATAACACTAGGACAAAATTGATGTTTTTGTCACTTTATAGGAGGGATTAACCTTTCTCCTGTTTCCAATAACTTTTCTGCCTAAAAACATAGTAAAATCACTTTTAATATCCATATTCTAACATGTACCTCAGAAACTTGCAGCTCTATCCATTATCCAATTTTAAAGTCAGTTGCATGTATTTATGTATTGTTATAGCAATACCCCATATCTCAACAACTCAGTACTAAAATCTGTATGTACGCGCATCTCCAGAAAAACAAAATCAATAGGGATACATAGAGACAGGGTGGGGAGGGAGACAAAGTATAAGGAATTGTTAATGGATTATAGAGTCTAATCCCCCAAATCTACATCTGACAAGCTAGACACATGTAAAAGCCTGCTTAGGAAATTGAAAACTATGGTTTCATATTTTTTTAACTTTTTACGTAACATATCTTGCATTATATAGAAATTTTGTTTTGTACTGCATCAGCTTTAGTTAATTGTATAAATTTCAACATTTCATATAATCTGTTAAATGTAGTAAATGGAATTTTAACATTCTGAAATTCTATAGTGATAACTCCTTTTATGTTTGTGATATTAGAATTATGTATTTTCATTCATGATTTGTATTAGAAATCTATCACATTTATAA